AGGCGCGAGCAGCGACAGCGGCAGCGGGAGCAGCGGCAGCGAGCGACGAGATCGCGATCGGGATCGACAGCGGTAGCAGGTTAGTGTTGGGTTAGGGTTGGGGTTATATCGGTTTAGTTGGTTCGATTGAACCAACTAACAACCGAACCAGGACCGAACCAGACCTAAAATTCTGGTTCGGTTTACCCAGGCGCTCGCCCGAAGCGCCCAGCGCCTGGGCTCGGGCGAGCGCCCAGGCGGCGCCTGATTGAAGCGCGCCGCCTGGGACATTAGCGAGGCGCTCGGGCCTCGCCTCGCCTCGCCCGAGCGCTTAGGCGAGCGCCCGAGCGCCTTTTGCAATCACTGTAGCAGCATAAATGAAATTTCTAACAACATCTCCCGGAACAAGTAGACACTAAAGCAATCTAATTGATATGTGAGTTGAGCAAACTTAACTTGAGAGCATCAACTGTATAGGTTACTAAATGACAAATTTGTACATGCAAAATTTGCATTCAACTAACACAATTGTGCTGCTAGTACCAGTCAGTATTTAAATTTTTATTTCATTTTTCATTAAAACCAAACAGTGTAGACTTTACTAGACACTATAAATAAATATCTAGATACTCTTAGTTTAACTAAGAATATTGCTTTGTACATAATTCAATGGTGAAAAAAAATCAATTTGGCTGAATCCAAAAGAATTGGAACTTTACAGCTTTTTGTTATTGTTGTAGACACCAGACAATATGGTTCGATATACCAAGCAGTATATTGGTACCAGTAACCAAATCCTATATCGGACAAAAATTAAATCCTTCATAAGCATGGTGTCCAAAGAAAGTGGTGCAAGAAGACAATCCATATTAGGAGAATGCTGTATTTATATGGTTGCTTCAATGTTCCTTGCAGGCTACATGTTATACTTCTAAAAGAATTATTCTATCATTGATGTACAGAACATTTCAATGTGATTCCTTCTTTTATTCTACAGAGACATAGTTACCTTTTTCTCACTGTAAGCATTTTAGTTAAAGAGTTGTGTAAGTTAGGTTTTACCATCATCAAGTCCTATCAAAATCAGAAATATTTTATTTGTTATAAAATTGCAGCAAAGGTCAACAGGAGTTTGATGGAAGACATATGGTACTTCCAGTAAAAGATGATGCAGTAAAAGCAGTACCTACTTGTATCAAAACCCCTCATTTAAAGCATATAGAAAGTTATGTTTTACCAAGACTTACAAGTGCATTCATTCAAACAACTGTTATCAGGTATATCTGTGAATTTGTCCTCATTTAACAAGCCAATTAAATTGTTTCCAAGTACTTGATTGAAGGACACCAAAATCAAAGAGCTTGCTGGATGCCATTTCTTCTATAAAAGTACAGTTATTTCAGAGGCTTTCTTTATTTTCCTTTGGGTTTACAATATTCAAAGATTTCAACACGTGTGACAATGAAATCATTCAGATGTCTGGACTCTGAATGACCCTTTTCTATGGACATTTCATCACTGTTTCAGACGGTAACTTGTCAAATGGTGTGTTGAACAACTTTGCACTATAAGAATACCAATCACGCACAACTTTAATGAGTGTGGTGTAACACCACTTGCTAGATAACAACCTAGTGCACCAAGAAAAACCAAGTTAGAAATTACTTGTGTCATTCGTGAATAATATCTTTTATGATGTTTCAGCTTCTTATTCTTATCTTTGCCTTATTGACACAATATGAAAGAAACTGATCAAGTTGCCCACTTCAATCTTAATTTAAATCAGTTATTGACCAAATGCTGGTGAATTAAAATAAAGTAAAAGAAAGTAGCTCATAATTAAAGTAGAACAAGCAAATACATATAAAGCAAGATAATAGAATAAAGAATAAAACACATACGAGGATAACAGCTGTTAATATGAACCCCAGCAGAGGCAAGTATTTCCTTTACTTCAGATTCGATAGATAGAAGAGTCGGAGCAGGGCTAGGCCAATCAGTCCCATTCATTGGAACTGGTTTCCAAATACCACGAGTAATCTCCGCTGAAAAGTAGCTAATGATAGTAGCAATAGAAGCTGGTAGAAAATCCACAAGATCTCTCAAACCTACATAAGTTGGGAGGTTAGTGTAGGCAAGTACAATATAAAACAAAAAGGAAACTTAGCAGAGATATTATATGACTAATTGTTTAGTTACTATCTGATACTTCCTACTACAAAAGAAGCTTACAGCAACTGAAGAAAGAGATGCTTTCATCTTCATTGGTGTACTCTTCTGAGTTCTGACCGACGAAAATCATAGGCTCTTCTTACATACCCCCATATGGATATAAACATTCATATATGCATGGTATTTAAGCGAATATATTTAATATGACTCAATCCTTCTTTTATTATCATAATTTTGACTTTACTCGACAATCGAGCTGCTAAACAAGAGAAATTGGAGTGAAGCTTGTAGAATATAATAAACCAATTCTATATCCTTCAATTTAGTTCTTTCTTAGTCCAACTGCTGTTATTTTTCAACAACTGTTAGGAGATGATATTGGCTTGACAATGAGCATAGTTTTATGCAATTCATCTTATTGAACTATTTTTCAAATTTTGAGGCAATGGTGGCTAAACTGGCAATCATCTATTTTATGGACCCTTAACATAGAACTCAAGCAGCCTTGGAGATCAAATGAATGAGGGTAACCCAGATCCTCATCATTTAAAATAGCAGATCCTTTCAGGTGTAACAAGTTCAAGTCCCCGTTGAAGTAACAAAACTTCAGCCAAATAGTCCAAGGTCACCAAGATTATAAAGCAACACAATGAAAAGTTACAAGATGCCTTATCTTACTCGCAGATACTTTAGTTTAACCCAGATCCTCATAATTTATTTTTTCTTGTATAATTCAGAACTTTGGGTGGAATACTTGGAGGCAAGTACTCAAGTTAGCCAAAATTGAACTCCACAAGCCTGATAGAAACTCAAACTGGTATGATGATCAGACTATGTGCTTGTATGATTGGTGTCAATTAACACAAAAAATCACCCCATGCCAGTTAACATGAGCTCTGTGCTAAGTTATTACAATGCTGCCCTCAACATGCCAAACAGAGCAGTGACTATATGAGCAGGTGCACAAACCAAAATTCAAATGCATGTGCTGCCAACGACGTAAGTCACGTAACTAAAGATGATAGCATTGCATGCCAAACATGTACACTCTTACACTAGGATTAAATAATTTCTAGTTTCATGATCAATAACTGCTTGAAGTTATGTACGTCTGGAAGAATTTCTATATCGTCATTCTACCGTTGTCATTTTCATGGCTCTTTTAAACAAATTGTTAGGATGTCCTGTTTGCAATACACATTAAACTTCCCACAAACAGAATATATTGGTACTTGGAAGAATGGAAAAATAGCTACGTGACTTAGAACACCAAGAATGAAGAATAGGCAAATGCAAAAGCATGGGAAAAAATCGACAAATAAGTGCATCAAACCTGTAGTCAAGTCTCTGGAGGAAAGCCTTCCATGAGCACATGCAGTCAAAACAGCTTCAAGAACAAATGGAATAGCTCCTAGAATCTCCCATCCAGGAAGCATTGGCCTTTGTAAAGAATCTTCTGTCATATTTACAGGTGATCCACTTATGCTGCTACTGGAGTTTGATGAGGGATTACCAGAAACAGGTCCATTTTTAGACATTTTCCGATAAATCATGTTCAAAATCTTATTAGCAGTCTGATGCACTGGGTCTTTGTTGCACAGACCAGAAAGAATTGAGGCTATGCAAGCCTGATTCTGGAAGTACCAAGCTCGAAGTTTTGGAAATGAGTCAATATAAACTGGCCGACGTGGTGATGCATTAAACGAACCCATATTATTCCCTGTTCTATTCATAGCAGATGAGTTCTGCAAAGCAATACGACTGTTGCGCATCAACAAGAGATAGTCTAAGGTTAATTCCATCTTTATGGAGCCTCGACCTGCTTGGCAGAGCTCCTGAGGGGGTTTGTAAAATTTCCACAGTCGAAGAAGAAAGAGGAATGCACATGAGAAGACCGAGTAAACAGAAGTTTCCTCAGAAGTTCTCGACTTATGACTGGAAAGAGGTGACAGTGACCCAAAGACCTCACAAAGCGGCATTAAAGCTGCTGCAACTTCTGGAATCTGAAGATGCCAAAAAATTTACATTAGTAATATGGAGCAAATTATGAGGGACATTTAGGCACAAACTCTTGCAAAATGGTTGTGCAGTCCCACTGTATTGACGAAAACCGAATACATGTATATATCTAATCATCTTGTGCATTCACATGGGAATAAAGAAAAGCACCAATGGTAGATCAACAAAAAAATTCTTATCTTTCATATGTTTTCAAAATATCTCGAAAAAAACAACATTTTTACAGAAAAAGGACCACGATAATTCTGAACAAAACCTGGAAGTCTAGAAGTAACATTACTAAATCACCATCACTAAGTAATGAATACCAATAATAAATGATACACTAAAAGTAGATCTATAACAAGTACTTTGTAAAGTCAGTTCTGCCATGTGAAATTTCTTTCCCAAATTGACCTTCTATACTTGCAGAAGCTCCAAACATGTATTTAAAACTTGTTCTGGTTTCTTAAATGCAAATCCAAATCACATATACATCCACAAGTGCATATGACATGATTGACTATAAGAAAAACCAAGACATGATGTGAGTGAATCATAGTTCCTAGATTTACTATTGTTGTGTCATATTTATTGTGTTTGAATTATACTCTAAACATGGTTTACTGATGGAGTAATACATACAGTACCAAACAAAATGATCTATTAGTTCATAAAAAATGACCAGAACCTACAGTTCATATTACACATTTGACTTAATAATCAACTACATCAAAACAATGACAGCATACATCATAGACATATTTTGTATAAAATTGTTAATCATGTTCAGAATTTCCAAAAAATTAAAGATGAATTAACAAATTGGTTCCAAGTAGTAGATAAATGTATTCTCAGAAGGCTTTACTCACCATGCCATGTAAAGAAAGAATATGAACGATGTCCACACCAGAAACTCCAAACAAAATGGCACTGAGCACAGGCATGTGACCAATCAAATAATTCTCAGCTGCAGATGCTGAAGAATCAGGAGGCATAGGAAGAGATAGCAATTTGACCACAAAAAACACAACATGTTCCTGAAGCAATAAAAAAGGACAATTAGAAGCACAGACAAAAATGAAGTTCATAAAGTACAAACCAATTTGAATAAGGTTAACAGCTCAACGCCAGCTAAGGTTTTTGGGGCAAGCACAAATAAATAGAGCCAAAATATCCCAAGGAAATTGATAGCCATTAACACATCTAAACCATAGAAACTTCTTACAACAGTACCTCCCTAATCCTTAATAAAAATTACTCAGTGAAATGACTAAATATAATTTTCAATCAATGGTTAGAAGTGCATATAATAAATGAAAAGATATATAAGTGAACTACCTGGACATTCCAACCACATACTAGGGATGCGGCACATAAAATTTTTGCAGCTGCTAATTTTTCTTCTTCTGATCCATTGACTGCAATATGGTACATTTTCTCCACTTCCACTAAACTACAGAGCAGCAAAATAAGTCCATGAGTCTGATTATTACAAATTTAAGACCACTAAAGTTGATAATGTTATAGTGAATTGAGCTTGAATACCTTTAATAATAAAAACAATAACATTATGTTGGCGCTGTAATCAGGATTACAGGCTATGGAACCATATAAAATCAAGATGGTTAAATGCAATTTTATCATATAAATAAGAAGATGACTAACTAATTAGGAGTATCAAGCATCTATACACGATATAGTACTAATGTGCACAGTGCAAAGAGATGCTAAATTCAAATGATTTGGAATTTAGCATATCCTTCTTCATCCATCTAGTTTGCTTTCTTTATACTTTCCTCAATATTATAGTGAATTGAGCTTGAATACCTTTAATAATAAAAACAATAACATTATGTTGGCGCTGTAATCAGGATTACAGGCTATGGAACCATATAAAATCAAGATGGTTAAATACAATTTTATCATATAAATAAGAAGATGACTAACTAATTAGGAGTATCAAGCATCTATACATGATATAGTACTAATGTGCACAGTGCAAAGAGATGCTAAATTCAAATGTTTTGGAATTTAGCATATCCTTCTTCATCCATCTAGTTTGCTTTCTTTATACTTTCCTTAATTTTCTTTTCCTCATTTTTTTCTTTCACAACAAATTGGCATATCCTCTTGTTTGTCAACAACATAACAGGGAACTATAGCAAGATTGACAGGATTAGTTAGTCTACCCTGATAGCTTGTCTTAAACATGTTGTGACCAGGTGGTTGGCATCATGAACAGACCTTCTGCATTTGGAGGAAATCTGCTCTTGAAGATGTGTCAGGTTCACATGACACAAGTGGCACGTGTGCCAGACCTCTTCCTTGAATAAAGCACATCTTGCCATCAGAAGAGGTCTCTTCGAATTACGGTACTAAACTGATTATTTCTAACTTCTAAGTTTAAACAATACATTTGAATTCAAGGCCTTTAAACATCTCTGCAGTTTGCTGCCCATATAATGCAGAAATCAACAACAATAAGGTACAAAGATGGTGCCAAAACATTTCACAGCACAAGGCCATAAGCATGTCAGTTCATATATCAACAAGAACTACTGTTACAGTCAGGGCATGACTGTAACTAATCAATGCAGTACTGTCATCACTGATCAGGTTAATCTACGAGGAATTGTTTAGAGTACCTTGATGCAGGAGTCACCATAAGAGAGTTTTTCAAAGAATCAGTCAGTGGAGCTCCCTCAAGGAAGGTTGACCAAGAAGAATCTTGAAATGAAGTTGGATCTTTTGATGACACAGATGGAACAACATATCCAGGCCAAAAGTAAGCAGATGTATCAATCAAATTTCTTGCAATACAGGCTTCAACAATTAGATGCAGCATGTTTCCAACTGCATGTGTAAAGAAAAGGAACAATCATAACACTTCTTCAAGTAGTCCACAGGTATAGAGTGCTACTTAACCAATGTATAGCATGGAAAAGCTAAGTTAGCATTAGTTTATCATATGTAGCTCCATGGAATGAGATGCCACATACAATTTTAAAGGTTTAAAGCATGGTCTGCAGTACCAGACCGTACCGCCCGGTATGGGCGGTACGTACCGGTCTGACAGGCTTCCGGTACGCGGACCATCTGTTACGGTCCGACACTGTAGCGACACTGTAGCGACACTGTAGCGACACTGTAGCGACACTGTAGCGACACTGTAGCAGTGCTACAGTGCTCGGCACGCCTAAATATACTGAGCGGTACACCTGGGTATACCGTACCGTACCAGTACCGAGCCCAGGTCGAAACTCCGGTATGGTACGATATTACGGACCTTGGTTTAAAGGATCATGTTCATGATTGATCACAATATTTAGGATCGTGAATGGCCATAGGATTCAGGATCCGGATAATCTTAAAGCAATTAAACCTAGTTCTGAGACAGATTATTCACTTCAATGAACATAAATTGGTTGAAGGAAGCCTTGAAATCGATAAAAACAACTCAAATCTTGCTAAAACCAGCCAGGACTATCCACAACCATTCAGAGTCAATCAGAATCTAGCAAGGATCAGCAGGAACTGCATAAAACCCAACTAGAAATACAATGAACTTGTAGTGATCACTCAAACCCACTTAAAACACGCACAATCAGCTCAAACCTGTTCAGTCCAACCAATCCCAAGAGAACTCAGAAAAATCAGGATCAGAGACAATTAATCCATATCAGGATTGGCCCATCTTATGAAGCAGTTTATAACTTTACAAGAATTGTCTCATATCTAATATGGTTTGATACATAGGAAAAAGGAGTAATCAAAGCTCCATAAAGAAAACTGAGTGAATACTTGGATTGAAGTTTTCATCAACTACTGTTAGCAGAGTAGGCATACTCAACCCAGGAATCGGTATAAGCAAATTCATATTGAATCCGGAAACCAGTAATGAAACTATTTACAACATCAAGATTAATGGACATGTTTCTTTTTGCTTCAAAAGCCCAAACCGATTCAAAGCAGGTTTATCATGAGCTTCACTCTAGACAAGCTAGAAAGCAAACATATTCTATCTTTTTTAGTCCATATTATTATCTAAATTATCTTTCACTTTTCAATTTGAAAATAATTTAACATAAATTATTAATAATGATGCAAACTTCAGAATGCTTGCAGATCTTAAAGAAAATCTTTGACCTAGATTGGATATCCAAAAGTTCTGATCTCGTTAACATGTGAATTATAGTTTGTCATCTAACTGCACCCTTAAAAGTATAACAAACAAGATTTTCTACTGTCTCTGAAGTTCATAGCTATTTTGTTCTTTTAAACATAAAACTAGTAACTTAAAAGCAGGGATCCGAACTGGAGCTTCAGGTCTGACATGTACTTTGTTTGGCCTAACCACTTACAGGTCAGATAGTGTTTGGATCACCACACTTTTTCCTTGTTAGTTCGCTCAACTCAAAATGAACAAAGACCTGTATTTTACAATGTAATGTGGCCTGACAGCATTTAGGATACAAAATTTTGAGGGTCTGATCAGATGTATACCTCTTGAATATTCAGATGACTGGACCTAAATTTGAGCGACCTGACCAGTTCTTATCCTACTGTAAGTAACAGACTGAAATTTAAAGAATAAGGAAAATTTTGAAAACTATATGAATGGTATCTTTTGTAACTTACAAAATTGCAAATGAATAGTCTTACATATTGTATATTCAATTACTCTCAGTCTCAGTACAGTCCAACTAAAGGTCTAAAGTTGCATCTAGGCATGACCCTATCTCTATTGCTAAAAAGTAATCATAAAAAATAGTGAGTTGCTACGATGGTCATAACCAAATAGATGGTGTAAATTGACATAAAGTAGAACATAAAACAAACACTCCAACTGTTCATTGCTTCACATCTCAAACACGATAACTCTCAAGATATATTATTTTTTATCTTTTGTTATTTATGTATGACAATCTAAAGGGTGCTAATGTTTAAAGAATCGAAAATAGAGTTGGTAATAAGAAAAAAAGGACAAAACATACAGGGAAATATTCCATAATGCTCCAATATCATCAAATTCTCATCATCTTGGGTTTGGTTGATTATGGATGATTAAGGGAAAGTATTAGAGAAAGAGCTTTATAGATTACGTAATGGAGGAACTTAGAGTGGTAGGATAACTAGGGAAGAAATCTCTAGAAAGATAGAAATAGATAATTTCTTGTACTCACTCTAAGTTCTATGAACTCACTTTTGGGAAAACATATTGGCCTCACACCAGTTACACATAATGCAGAAAAGAAACTCATTTATTCATTTATCAAGTCTTCAATACAATTCCTCCCCTTTTTTATTTTTTGAAGTAAAAGAACACAAAAAAGTAAAAAGTAAAAATACAACTAAGAGATTTACATCAAGGTAAATTAATTGTTCACTCTTTTCTTCTTTAAGGAAGATAAATTTTCGAATTTGTATTGAAAAATAATCTGCTGTTTCATAGGTTTCCATCTCTTTTTTTAAAACAATAAAACTTATTGAAACAATATCTTCATCAAAAGTAACTTTTTATTTCTTTTACTTTTCCTCATTGACTACCTCTTTTATTTTTCTTGAACAATCTAGAAAACTAAAGTAGAAAAATAGGAGGCGATGGCAAGTGGCAACTTATGATTCTAACAAAAACTCTCTCTAAACTATTAAAAATAAGAAATTTGAATAGGCTTTTTTTTTCACAACTAGTGTAGACTAAAAGGTGTTCCAATGTCCATCAATTCTCTAGATAAACTCCTATAATGGTGAAAACAAGCATAATATTTCTGGAAAAAAGTACACACTCATGCAATTAAGCAAGAAAAAAGTGTAACCTTCAATTAACAGAATCCTATAACAGTAAAAAACTTGATTCATAAAAAATATAAAGCCAAAGTCTGTTCTCACTGCTGCATTTATCATTCAGATGAAGATAATAAAAAATTATCAAGACAAACAAACCTGCTTTTATAGAACAATCATTAAGGTTGCTATTCCCAGCCTTGAAATTATAAACAAAGACTGCTGCTTTTGTAGCTGCACTATTAGCAACATTGACAACCGATGGAGGAGGTGAGAGAAGTGCTGAAAATTGTCCCAGTATCTTAAGGGATGATATCAATGCATGCCTTCTAACTGCAAATTTATTTCCTTCATTTCCAAATGAATTACTTCTCAAAAATCCATTGCTAAAAGGATAAGGTGTTTCATTCTCTTCCTTCACAACAGCAGCGACTGCCAAGGGGACGATAGAAAGCAGCATGCATAATCGTGCATCAAGGTGAGGTATTGGTCCTTCTATAGGCTCACGATCCTAGAAGTGCACATATTTGCAAATGCAAGAATATAAATTAAATTTCTATAGCAAATATAATTGTATGCATAAAAACAGAATTTTCTCAACTCGTTGCACAAGTCGGAGCGCTGAAAGCCAAAGAGTTTGAAATGTCTCCTGCCAGCTTGCCTGGTTAATTACTTGCAGTGTCTTGGTCAATTCTGTTTAATTAAACAGTCTTAAATTTTCTTATAATAGAACAGATATGCATATTTGGAAAAGGAGTAAAACAAAAAAAGGAGACAGAATGAAACAAAAGAGACAACTAGAACCTGTAAGAATCTCAACAGCAGATATAGCATATAGATGCTTCCCATCCATTGCATTCTCCATAAAAATATCAACAGGTATCCAACAAGCACCTCTTCCAGCACCATGACTGTTGCATGGATTCAAGCTATATGACCCAGCATCAGCTAGAGCTCCAAGAAGTTGATGCTTATTCAGAAGGAATTCCCCATTTACTGCACTATTTATATTTGTGAACAACTTATCCAAAATATGACTCACTGATAATAAACTCTCTGATTTTGATCTATTGGCATCAATAGTTTGGAGTCTCTGAAGTAGGCCATTGAACAGCTCAGGCCTGTGCTTGGAAGAATTTTTTTCAATCAGTAGTAAACACCTCAAAATAATTTCTTATATTAAATTATTAATCTCCACAAATCTCTTAGGATTATAGATTAAAATTAGTTATCACTTAAAATGCCCTGATCACAAACATCCAATGTCATCAGAGTTGTAGTTAAATAGATATCCATGAGTAGCAAACATCACAACTTTACCAGTTAAACATAGGGAATCAATAGAACTCCCAAGATTGATGAACTCCCAAGTATGGGGCAAGGAAAGGTCAGCAGACAGGGAGTTTTTTAAAATGGACTAATCAATAGAAAAAAGGATAAAATAGTTGGATCTCATGTCAGTAGCTATTATCTAAAATAAGTAGGAACCTAGTGGTTATTGGATTCATATTACTATTCATAAAAATGTGCCATGGTCTAATACTGCCTTCTAGAGGATGGAGTTACATTAGCACCAATCACAAGCAGGAGGTGAAAAAAGTTGTCCTGATCACTATGAAAAATCACAAGAAAAATCATGACACCAAGCAAGTTTGATATAGTGTATCAGCTGATGATGATTAACTTAGTTACTGGAGGGAGATTCACCCATGGGAAGAGATGAGCAACTACACTTAAGAGCCATCACAAGACCTAAGGAATGTCCCTCTATTGGAGCAAAGGGTGCTCATCTTGACTAGGTTTTCCAAGATAATCTATGTCCCTCTATTAGGCCTACTGTGACTACTGCTTAAATGAGAAAATTGGGCAAGTGATCACCACCATTGCTCTCATGGAAATAGAAAGTGAACTAGCCTTTGTAACAGATGCTATCATCCTATGTAGAAATTAATTAGTCAAAAATTTTAACATAATGGAAATTTCTTTTCCCATTTTCCTCCAAGACAGTGTTGGAATCCTTCTCCCTTCTCAATGTTAACATCAGAAACCATAAGCAGTTAAACTACAATATTCAGTAAAAGTCATACTGATGAAGAAAGCATAAAAGCATAAGACGGTACATACATGTTGATACGAATAAGATGAAGAAAAGCTTTGGCCTTTTTATTTGAAGAAACTTTTTCAGCCACCTCAATAGCCATTAAAGCATTAGTCTTACGTAACTTGTCATGATGCTCATTTCTCCTCTCATTTGAATTCTCCTTAACATCGACCTGCATTGTTTGTTCTCCTCCACTAGCATATGCACAGCCATGTTTGTCTGCAGACACCAATTGGGGACCACAATCTTCAATTGTACAATCCATCAAGCTGGTGATGATATTCAAAATGAACAAAACAATTGCATGCCCAAAATCCATTTGTTGAACTCCATATGTATATGAAAGTTGTAAAGCAGCATCAATAGATTTTGCAATCCTGCAAAATGGACAATATTGTAAAGGATCAAAGGCTGAGGCTATAAATTCACTTATTCAAAAGTCACACTTTAGCCATGAAGAGGAAGGATATGAATCCACATTAAAAGGAAGCCAAGGAATTACATAAACACCAGAACAGCCTTACGGACCACAGAGTTAACATCTTTATGAGATGCTTACAGTAAACAAGTACACAATAAACACACGAACGGGCAAGTAGTGCTAACTTGATAAGCATGTCAAACTTATGTCAATAGTAAAGTATTTCAACCCTTAATCCTCTATTTTTGTTCCTCATCTATCTGTTACATTGTATACTATTTCCGCCTTCATTATTCTGCCATTTGACAAAACCACAAGCAAGCCCATGCAATAACGCATAATGTTTTCTAGTGTGTTTCCTGATGATGCAAGCAGGGATTGAGCAGCATCAGTATATGGCACTTGATAAAGGATATAAATAGGAACAGATTAAATTTGTCGCTTTTGCATGATGGTGAAGTGTCTCAAATAACCGGGGGTGACTACACTAGGAGGGTTCATCATAGAAACCCATAATGCATTTTGCTGAGGGCTTGTCCCTTAGACCAAAAAAAGATGGGACATCCAATTTCTCTTCACTAAAACCTCCTTTTCCTTAACCAATTTTTTTCTTTATGTTTCTAGTCCATCAATAGCTATCAGTTAACTTTCTTCAACCCGAGTTCTCTTCTATTTACTTATACATCTAGAGCATTCTTCTCTCTACACATCATGTTGCATATTTATCATATCTTCAGAAGAATCCATCCTATTAGCAGCACAAGGAAATATTTCTTGGACAGATGTTACTAATAGAAAATACTATCTAAGTAACTCAAGCTCAAAGTTGTTTCCACTAGATAAGTCATTTCCTGACTTCAAATATAGTTAATAAACCCTGCATTTTTTTTCCTTGAAAGAATTAGACGTCTCACCTTAAATTCCATTTCTCAAAACATACAAGAAAATATCCAACTTTCCAACAAAAATCATCGACTCCCCTTTTTCAGAAAAGGAAAATTGCATAACACCCCACCAAGTTATTGATTTTCATTTTTATTTCTACAAATTTGAGTTTAACAAGTATATCCTAGCAAAACCAAAAACTTACATCTATGCTACTCTAGTTAACCTCCATTAGTTGATTGGCATATGACTCTTTAAAGTGACATTACACCCTTAACAAGCCCCATTATGATGGTATTAGTTATAAGGGCATTTTAGGTACTTTAACCATTTATATATTTTTAATTCAAACTAACAATTGATAATAACTAGTTTCTTGGATAGATGATAATGTAATGGTATATGTGGATGATCTTAACATTTGGAAGGGACAGATATATATATAAAACCTATAGGGGTAACAATGTCATTAAAATTGGAGATTTCTATTGGCAACCATTTTTGCTATTTATAACCTCGTTTTAAGAATCTTTAATATTCCTAAGATACCCTTATGTAAATGAACATAAACGTCATCAACTTATCACTTAATTCTAACAAACTCTTCAACTCCTTCCATACAATTTTTCCTTCCCCTTCTTCTTCTTCTCCTAATGTA